GCATTAATGGTGTAAAAAGGTTTATTTTTGCAAGTTCTGTAACTGTCATTTTTACCGATGAGGAACTGCATGACGCTGATGAATTAACTCCATATCCACATCCATCCAAGGTTAAATTCATTTTTGTTTATAGTTGATTTAAATTATAAAAAATATGAAATTTTATATCTTTATGTAATGAATTGTTGAAGATTTTTGATGTAAAATGAACTTATTCTATTCAAATTCTTAAAACTTAAAAGGGATACAAAATTACTTCATATGGGATAGATGTGTGTTGTAGATAAGTTAATCTTAATTTAATTATCTTTCAAATTTCATCCTACTATTCAAAATTAGAAATAGTTTAATGTACTTTTGATTTTATTTCAAAATGGTGGATATTTCGAACGAAAAAGAAGTTACTGCTATTTTACGGGTATTCTCTAGAAAAAAAACGATTTTTTTTAAAGGTCACGAAAAGAAGAATTTTAATGTAAGATTTATAAATTAACTTTTAATTATTTATAAGCGACGAAAAGTTGATCATTTTGAAATTAATTTCAACTATTGCAGTATTATTCATACTATGCAGCATCTAAAGCAGTAGCTGAGAAATTTGTAGTAAATAGTAACTGCGATACATTAAAAACGTGTGCTCTCCGATACCGTGGAATATACGGTCCGGCAGAACCACGAACCGTAAAAAGAACAGTGGTAAGCTACTATACTTTTTGGTCACCTTAAATTATTTCAATTCTTTTTTTTAAATTTAATTACATGTGTTAAAATAGCAAGGATGATAATTTACATTTAGTTTATTCTTAACCATTTTACTGCATTAATTTGTTTATATTTAAAATAAGGAATTTGTTTAAAATTTCAAATTTTCAAATATCTTAAAGTTCTTTTTTTTAGGACATGTGCAAACGTGGTTTACTCATTGCAACTTTTCCTAAATTCCATGAAACTACCACTCAGTATAGTGGAATTGGAAATAGTACTAGAGTAAGAATATAATTTTAATCACTTAATTAGAGTTAAATCGAATCAAAATCAAATATTTATCTATCTGTCGTTATGCTTCTGTCTTCTCCGTTATGTCTGTGTCACCATTAAGCATTTTTTCGTAATTATCAGATACTTTCTTAAATAATTATTGGTTAAAACATGCATTTCAGGCTATGAGATTAGCTGAAGATGCCTTACGAAGAGGTATTGCATGTGGCAAAGTGTACAACATTGTTGATGGTGGTCCACCTGTTGGATCATTTAGTTTTTGGTTCCCACTTATTAGAGGTAAACACTTTTTAACATCGATTGTTTTCTTAAATTTTTTTCACTGATTCAACAAAAGATTTCTATCTAAAACTTATATTTAAAATTAGGTTCAATAAAGGCTATAACGCTGATAAAAGAAAAAAATAAGTATGCTTTTAAAGTTTCCTTATTTATTTATCACTTGTATAAAAATTATCAATTTTAGCATTTAACAAACCACTTCCCATGTTCAAAATACCATATACATTAGTGATATGCTTGGCTATATTATTCGAATACCTCTATCGCTATTTTGGTCTAGAGCCATTATTTACCAGACTTGAAGTGAATCTTGTATCAATTACCAATACTTATTCTATTAGACAAGCTCAACATGATCTCGGCTATAAGCCAATTCAAAATCATGATCTTAACGACGTGATACGTTATTATCAAACAGCCAACAATAATAACAATCGAAAAAATGAAAATGATAACAAAATTGTAATTCCAACAATATCATCCGAAAAGAAACATTTAAATGTTGTTCTGTTAAATGGTATCAGTTTCATCTTACTTATGCTAATTGTATTCCTTTTTTGGATTGCTAGTGCATTATTTTTATAAATTAATATATAATTGCTTAGTGTTTTTTCTTTTGCTTTTTTTACAAGGACATTTAAGGCTGTTACAAATGATTGTATAAAAAATAAAATTGTGGAATAAGGATTTGATGTTTATTTGAAATAGAGCTAACATGAATGTTTTAAGAATACAAATACTGAAACATTAAGCATTTGTGTAATTAATTTTAAAACTCGATTGATTTAAATTGCTAAATTTAAAATGATTTAACTTGTTTTAAGATAGGAAAAAACGAGAAATATTTTTGATTATAAATTATTTATTATCATAGAGAGAATTGTTATTAAAAGAAATATGAATTGAATTGCTAAAATAAATATTTAAGTCTTAATATTTTAAAAAAATTCGAAGATTTGTTTTTTTCTTTTTTGAAAAGAAGAATATCTTAAAAGCATTTGATTTAATTATTATTATTATGTAATTTATTTCTTTCCATTATGCTCTTATTGTCATCTTCTGTCGTATTTTATTTATTTTTTCTTCTAAGATTTTATTCTGATTAAAAAAGATTCAAATCTTCTAATTTCATATCAAGCAATACAGTTATGTGTATATGTATCATTTTTTTTTTCCTTTTTTACAAATAATTTTAAAAGGAAAAACCTGAATTTCTTAATGCACAAATTTTTTGATTTAATTTTAATTGTGCTTTTGGAGTTCCATCTCTAAATTGAAACAACAAAATTTCATGTTCAGATTACTTTTTTTTCTTTCTTACGGAAAAGAAAAGAACTTTGAACAAATAAAATTGGGTGATTGATGTATTTCAGGCATCTGTGCTATTTTCAACAGTGAAATGGAATAACAAATGCGCAAATGGTAAATCAAAACATAAATATTAATTTTTCTCTTTTTTTCTAAGTAACACAAAAATTGGACAAATGAAATATTCAAGAATTAAAAGCAAATCAGAAAAAAACGAATTAAAAAATATATAAACAAACAAAACATAAATTATAATTTTTACTAAAATTAGTTTGCTGATTCATAATCAACAATTAAATAAATACCCAAATAATACTGTTTCTTAGCTAAATCATTACATTCTTCGATTATTCAATATATAAAGTATACACATCAATTTTTTTACTAGTAATTTAATTGAAATATTCATATAAATATCAGTTATAAATAAATAAATAATTAGAAGAAAAATATTGAAAAATATATCACAAAGAAGTTGTGATCATTACCATTCATTAGCATAACAAAAAAAGAAAAAAAAATTCACAAACTATCGTACAAACTAAAAATTTTTCTATTTGTTACTGAAGGCTTTAGTTAGTTTTCTTGTTAGTTTTGAAATTTGATTCTATTTGTAAATAATTTAATGGTAAAATAAAGCAAGAATTCAATATTGTTCTCAAAATTTATAGTTACATTAATATGTGTGCTATTGTAAATTATACATTATATATTATTTTCTAATCTTTTTCTCCAATCTTATTACTCAAAAAAAAAAAAGCGAAAGAGGAACAAATTAATTCAGTTCCATTTTTTATGAATTGAATAATTTAAAACCACTTTAAAATGAATTTCAAATTTTCGCCTTATTTCATTTTATTTATCATTTGTTGTTCAATTATAAAATGAACAAAATTTAAAACGCACATAAAAAAATGAAAACAAAAAAGCAAGAAATTTTGCTGAAAACAATTAGATAGATGATACTTAAATATGAAAGATATTCCTATAATTGAGTATTGTAATCCTTTATTAAAGAGCAAAGAATTGCATGTACACATTTTACCCGACCATCTCATATTAAACCAAAACCTGGTTGGTATTTTACCCGACCACTTATATTTAAACCAAAACCTGGTTGGTACCTTACCCGACCATTCCATATTTAAACCAAAACCTGGTTGGTACCTTACCCATAATTGGCATTATATGCTTCAGATTATAACTCAAACACTTTCGTCAATGTTCAATTTGCAGATACTATCTAGCGTTGCAATGATGCAGCATCATCAGCTGTTTATCAGCAAAAAGCGCTGCTAGTCGTCCTACACATTTGTAGCAAGAGAAGCAGATGACAATGTTAAGTGGATCATTTTCAGAGTAGATTGACAAGATAATATTCTCTCACTTCTTAACTTTAAATTTTTAGTTGAAAATTTTTTTTGACAATATTTTTGTTTATCTTTAATTAATTGATTGCAAATATCTTTGCAATTAGTTATCAAACAATAAAGTTTCAAGTTCTGAAAAGGAGAAGAAAAATGCTAAGAATGAAAATTATTTATTATTGTTTTTAAGAATTGATAATAAATTCATTTAACTAGTTGCAAAAAAAGCGTTTTAATTGCTTGATTTACATCACGATTTGACTAATTTAAGCGAAGATATTTCATTGATATGAATCTCAATAATACAAGAGATGATAGATAGATAGATAGATGCATGTCATTGATATTTACATCGATGACAGTTAAATAAAAAAACAACGTTTCCACTAATAATCATTTCATAGTTATCTTGATATAATAAAGTAAACAATAATTTTGTTTATCATGACAAATATTTTTGCAATTAATTAGATATTAACTAATAAAGTGTCAAGTTTTGAAAATGAAAATGAAAACGCTAATGCTGAAGCAAATTGATAGAAAGAAAAAGAAAAAAAAATCTAAGCTCTTTTTTTCATCCATTTGGAAAATTTGTAAGGATTTTATCACTTATACTATATTCGTTCGTTAATTTCATATCATTTATCACAATAAACTTAAACTTCTTTTCCTAACCTTTTCATATCAATTTTGTCGATGAAAAAATTATAATTGTAATAGTTTTTTTTTTTTTTAGTAATGATAAAGGAAAAATTTTTGAAAATGACCAAAAGCAAATAAAAGTGACGTTTAGAATAATGTTAAATTTCATCTGCTGTAATTTTAGCTATTAGTAATTCTTCTTTTATTCTTCCCAGTTTTTTTTTTCTTCGACGAAAGTTTAAATTTTAAACAAAATTGAGCAAAAACAAATGAGAAATTTCCCTATGAAATAAAGATTGGGACTAGAATGATATGAAATAGAATTAGAAAATGGAACAGTTAAGAAAACTTTGATATTATTATTTTGTTTTTTTAAAAAAACAAATATGAAATTTTATTCTATCATAACGGCATACTTTCAACTAAATCGCCTAATTTAATTTGTCGTTTATTTAAAATATAACCATCATTATTAGCATTATTAATATTTATGCTATAACTATTATTATTATTGTTGCTCATAATATAATCGGATTTTGCCATAGTTTGATTTTTCACATTTCGTAATTGATGTTCCACAAATTGTAAGTCCGCAAAAATTTGCGCATCACGTTGTCGCATATAAGCCTAAAATCACACTTTGACATAAAGAAATACAAGAGATGTGAAATAAAAAAACAAATATACTAAAATATTTGAATAATTAAATTGCATAGAATATTGAATTCTTTTCCAAAACAGTTCTTTAATTTTATCTTTTTTAAAGAAATAATTATTACTGTTGAGAAATTAATTAACAATGATTCCAATAATTTTTAATTGAAATAACTAAAATATTAGCTTAAATAGTTTAATTATGATAAAAAGACAATTACCATTTCACGTTTGAGATGATTAAACACTTCATTCCAAGACCGAAAATCACCAAAAGAAGTCTTTTGTGAGTCATTGGAACTTATTGAACGTGACAAACCCGAATCATTCATTGTATCATCAGTTATGATAATTGGTTTCAGAGCCGATGGCGCTAAATCAGAATCATGATTGACAGTAGTGGAACAATTTGTCGCATCTAAAATACATTTAATTTATCATAAATTATCATTTCTTTATAATTTTAATTTTATTACCTTGACTCTCTTAATTTCTCAATGAATGCATTACAAACAAGAAAAAGAAGAAAAGAAAAATGCAAAAAAAAGCAGAAAGCTTAAAAAGATTGAAAATGAAAGAAAAATTTGTAAGATCAAAGATTACTTTATGTTCCTGAAAATGAAACAATTTCTTTTCTTCATTTATAATTCATTAATTGTCAAAACTGTAAAAATAATAACAAAATATAAATGTGAGTCCTTTCTTTCTTCCATTTCTTTTTTTTTTTTTTTTTTTTTTTTTAGAATAATAACATTTACAAATACAATGATATTTCGTGCTTCTGTTATTAATAACATTTCGTATTTCATTTTCAATTTAAAATTTGACTTGAATTTTAATATTTTTCAATTGTTTATGAAAAAAATTTTTTTTTCATATCATCTTTCTTTGCTTATTTCTCTCTTTCATTTTTTCCATTAATTTCTTTTAATTTAAAGCGGGGCAAATAAAAGATCTTACCTTGATTAGTAATATCATTATCATACTGATAAGATGGCTCATCATCTGGTATTTCTAATGAATAACTAGCGTCAAGAAATGAATATTGTGATGATACTGATGTTGTTGGAATTTCATTTTTCTCTATTACACTTGAAGCTAATATTTTTGAATGTAATCGGCTGGGCAATGTTGCCGTATCATATATCCTAAAAATATTATCAGTCATTAATCAAATCTTTGATATCGGATTGTAATTTCAGTACACAGCTAATCAAAATTTTAAATAAATGAAAAATTCAAAATGTTCCATTATTACTTATCGATTGTTCAATTATTCTTCTTTTTGCTATTTCAAATAATTTGACGTTTTTTTGTTTTTTGTTTTTTTAATATAAAACGTTAATAAAGAAAATATTAACACTTTAAAATTTTTAAATTACGTTTCAACTAACTTTCTGAAAAATTTTTTCGTTGCTTTAAGTGGATTTAACAATCCACCACTGCTACCATTGGTACCATAACCACGATGAGTGCCGTTACTGCTACCGATATTGCCACCTGAGTGATTACTGCATCGAGTTGACGACATATTGCCGAGACTTTGCTTAGACGGTGATAAGCAAAGTGAGAAATGATTATCGTTGCCAACACTACGAGATCTGCAAAGAAATATTTTGAAATACAAACAACACTGATATGATTATTGTGATAAGTTGTTAATGAGAAGCAATGAAAAATTGATTTTGTTGTGATAAACAATTTGATTGTGTTCTTCCTTCAAATCAGAAATATAATGAAAAAGTATTAATGAAATAAATCAACAGATTTATGAAAAGAGAAAAAAAGAAGACAGGAGGAAGAGGGAGAGAGAGAGAAAGAAAGTAAAGTATATATGTATGTGATAAGTATGTGACATATTTTATCAGTGTATTGCACTCATTGTTAATAGTTAAGCTTCAACTTTAACACTTTTAATTTAACTTTATTTAAATTTAAGTTAAAATTGTAAAAATGAGTGTTTTAATGGATTTGGTTTAAAAATAGAAACAAAAGAAATAAAAGTGAGCCAAAAAGGAGGAATAATTTTTGTGAATGTCACCATTTCTGGGAAGCTTTGCTGCTGTTGATCTTTAAACTTAGAATAAAAATCCAATTATGAACTATTCTTGATATCTTCTAATATGATCTACAGCTCTCTGTATCTTTTATTAATTATAATAATTGCAATAAGTTCATTTTTAGGCTAATGATAAGTTGTGATATTATTATTATAAATTAAATTTGAGTTTACACTAAAAAGTAAAAATATTTTGAAATTAGTAAATTTGAAAAAAGAAAAAAAAATAATAATGAAATAGAATAAAATAAAATATATCATTCTTAAATTTTAGTCATACCTTTGATGTACCCTTTGTATACTTGTTATAATTTTATCTTTTTTTCGTTGACTTAAAGAGCCATATGATCGATTTAAGCCTTGATCATCGCATTCGGTCAATTTTTTCCCTTTTCGATTAATTATTTCTAAAATTACATTATAATTTTATCCATTCTAAAATAATTTTTTCTTCCTTTCTTTTTTTTCTCTCATTTTTAATAATTTATTTTAATCATTTTTGTGCATCGTAACCTTTTTCAAATCTTAGAAAAAGAATTTATTAGCTAACCTTTGCATGAATCTCATCCTATTTGCTGTATTCATTCCAATAATTGTTTCTTTTTATTAAATAATTAAATAATGAAATAAATGAAATAAAAGAATGAAATAGATCAATGCAAAAAGAGAAAAAATTTTTTGGGATAGTAACAGCTGAAAATGGTTAACTTCATCGATGACCTAATAACCTAATTCTTTTTTTTTTTTTTTTAGAATTTCCTGCAAAATGATAGCTTCCAATGAAATAGTTATTACAACAAGATAAAGGAAGTTATTAGAAATGGAAAAGAAATCAATGAGTAAGGAGAAGAATTAATTAAATCATTCAATATAGCACATGCTCTCACTACAAAATTAATAATTGAAACGTTTATTTCACAAAACTTGGCAAAATCTGGGAGGAAATTCTAGAACTAAAAGTTTTAAATCAATCTTAAAAAAGAGGAAAATGAAACTTGAATCTAATTAATACTAGCTCATTATTTTTGTTAGTCAAAAAAGAAAAAAAATTGAATTTCAGAGTCGAAGAACTTTTAATCTTCTGTTTCTTGAAAAAATTAATCATTCCAAAAGTTCAACTTTGAATATTCTTTTCATTCGATGAGGAAATTAATGTTTGTGAATGCTATCAAAATTTGCAAATAACTGCGTGTCAATGTTAAAAAGAAAATGATCAATTCAAATAGTTTTTGAAATTAAAATTTAAGTGTATTAATGAATTAAATTTGTATAACTATAAAATATATAATGGCAATTAAAATTAGATAAGGTGTTGTCTCATAATTTTGTTTTTTTAATTGTTCACAATTTTTTTAATTGATTTTAATTTTTGATTGTTTTATTCTTTAATTGTTTCTTAACCACTCACTTAAAATTAAAAATAACTTATATAAATTGTTCAGTAATTAATTGGCGATAAGGTAATAATTTTTAAACAGCTCAAAGCTTTGTTCCATTTAAATATCTTAATAATTTAAAATAAATTAATACTGTTTAATAATTCAATGATTCCAGTAGAATTTTCCTAAAACTTGAAAAATTTAAATATTATAAAAATTTAAAGTTTTATTATGAAAGAACTATTTTAGAAGAAAAGAAAAAAATTCAATGAGAAAAAGAGAAATGATTGATATTTATTATGTCAAATAAGGCGACACAATTTCTGAAATACTATTCTGGATAATGTGCTTTTGCCCTTAACTGTTCTGCTTAAATGGGTAATTATACCCATAACAATGTTAACAACAATTTCAATATAATTTGCTTTTTTTTTCTTCGAAGCTAAAAATATTAATTTTATCGATGGAATAATTCATTAACCAAATTGAATTGAAAATAATAAATTGAAATAAAGAAATAATGTTATTTTAGAAATGGACAAATTATAATAAATGAAAACGAATGATTTATCATGAAAATAGTTTTCCTTTTTCTTTCTCTTAAAATATTTACTTTGCAACAACAATTTTATGATATAAATGTTAAAAGAAATTATAAAATTGAAATTAGGAGAAAAAAGAAAAAAGGCAAAGAATTTTAATCGTTTTATGCATGAATAAATTGAATATAAAACGTACGTGAATTCACGTTAAAAGGGATTTATAATTATAGCAAATGTAAACTTAATTCAAGGTTTTATCCTTTTCCGGACTTTGCAAAATTTAAACTGGTTAGTTATAATCTATTCACGATTTCTAACATTTAATCTATGAATTTTGAAAGGTTGTATTAAAAATGAATTAAGTTTAACTTTTCACAAATGTCAGTCCATTTCTTCTTTTTTGTTTTTTTTTTTCTAATTTCTTAATTTTTAAATATTAAACAGATGAAATTTCATATTGATCTCTAACCTAGATTATTTCTTGCAAAATGATGTTATATCATTTTCAGAATTATTTAAAAATGTAGAATTTAAATTAAATCCAATTTTAGAAATGAATTTTGCTAGAATAAGCAGCAAAAATTTGTTTTCCTATTTCAAGAAATAAAATATTAAATAAAATGAAAGATAAAAATTATTTATATGAATTAAAGTTTTTAATATTTATAAGAATATAAAAATTGAGTTAACGTAAAAGTTTATTTATTTATTTATTTATTTTTTTTTTTTTTTGAATGCAAAATTATTGCAATAATAAAATAAAAACGACGTTTGAGTTTTGTTTTATTTTATTTTATTTTGTTTTGTTTTGTTTTCCATTTTTTTTTCTCTCACAAATAAATTGAATAAAAGAAATACTATTTGGATGTATTACACAATACTGACCAATGGCTGTGGGTCATTAATCTTTTTTCCCGTCCATTTCATTCCTAAGTAAATGAGCAGCACTTCAACTTTAATTCACATTTCAAACGATGTATAATCTTTATCTTTCTCTTTCCCCCAAACAATGCATTTTATGATGAAAAATAAAAATAGAAATTTTCTCTTAGAGCATTTCAAAACAATAAACAAAATTGTAATAATTTTGATAATTTATCACGAATTTTAAAGAAATTTTAAATTAGTTCAAGTTTTTGAAATTGAATAAAATAAAAATAGTAGCCTAAAGTTGTGAGCATTTTTTAATTAAATAATAATTAATTGATTTAACTCATTGCAAAAAGAAAAAAAAATATGCAAGATTTTTTGAGAAAAATTTTATGCTATTGGTTGCTTTTTTCTATAGCAAATGTAATTCCACGAAAAAGAAAATAATTTGAAATTGCAAAAATTTTTTTGATTAAATTAATTTTGAAAAATTTACTAAAAAATTTTTAAGCATATGAAAGAGTTGCTAATTGATTAATGTATTTGTAAAAGAAAAAATTTTGCAGTAGATTTTATGAAAAAGAATGAAATTAAAATGATCATTTTTAGTGGTTGGAAAAAAGTTCATTTTCTAGATCGCTTCATCCTTTGATTTTCTACAAAAGATAGAAATAATAAATTTAGAAATAAAAAAAAAATAAGTAATAAATAACTAAAATCAAAATATCTTTAAGAAATGAGAAGAAATTTTAAATTGAAAGAAATTTGCTAAACAAAATTAATTAACCATTGTTTTAAGTAATACTCGAAATTTTAAGCGGAAAACCACCAATTTTGATAGCAATATTATGCAAAGTAGTAGAATAGTAAATGAAAGCAAACAATAATGATAATTCATCAATCAAATCTGATAGAAAGTGAAAATTCAATTCTTATTTTACCATCCTAATTTTAAAAATTATTGTTTTTTTTCTAAATCAAAAAGATTAAAAGTATTTTAAGCCAGTTTGTCAGTAAGAAATCTGTCATATTAGCAAAAACAATAAAGCATAAAATTGATGTCAATGAGCAAAATAATTAAAATAATTTTAAAAATGTAGTGAAAATTTTTAAATATTGACTCTAATTTTTGTGAAATCTTTCTCAAATGAAAAAAGAATTTGAAAAGGTGGAAAATGAACAAATGCTTTTCAAACAAAAAAAAAAAAGAATGAAAAGGACAAAAAAAAAAAAATGAAAAAATGAAAAAAAAATGAACGAACGAACGAATGGATAATTTTCATCAATGACAAATTGTTTCAAATTATAAGCATTCCTATGCACTTTTTCAAATGCAAAATTTTAAAATTTAATTTGAATTTTATCGATTTTTTTTTTGCTATTTGGATTTAAAAAATATATTTTCATATCTCTTTTCCAATCTTTTATAACTATAAGACAATTTCATTTTTAATTTATTAAATGATTTTTGAAAGAGAAAATGAATAAAAGTAAAAATAAAGTAAACATTTCTATTTGGTTAAATAGCGTAATATATTCATAAAAAATTTTTAAATCACATAAATCTAATTATAAACTAATGATAAGATTGAAAATTTTTAGTTACAAGCGTGAAATACGTTAAATTACATAAAATTGCTAGCAAAAATGCTTAACTTTCAAAAAAAGAAAAACACTTGCAGTAAAGTTGCAAAAGTAAACATAAATCTTTTATGCATGCACTTTTTGCATGTCACATGCTTTAACTTCGTACCCATCTGCACGCATGCTATTGATTACTGCTACACTTACTTACTTGCATCTTTACTTATCAATGACCGATGATGTCAATTGTTTGCATCTATTTGTTATATCATCAAAATTCCAGCGAAAAGTTTTGTCTCAAAATAATAAAAATATCTTTAAAATACTTCCAAAAATTTCGTAAATTCAAAAAAATAGCATTTTCTTAAAGAAAAACTACTACAAAATTTAATATTAAAAAATAGCTTTAAAAATTATTTTTATTCAATTATTAAACTAAATGCTTAATTTATTGCTAATATTTGCATAAATACTTACTCAATTAAACAACTTTTTTCCTTTCATTCTTTTTTTAATTAAATAAATTTTACTATTAAATGACCAAGTCACCTTCAATAAAAATTTTTTATAAGAAAGAAAAGTACCATGATCTGATATATTAACACATTTGAATTCAGGTATTCCTCCTCTTCGCCCTTCTTTAGTCATTCCTCGTCGCATAATACTTTCATGTTTTATCGATGTTATTGTATCATCCAAACAATTATTACAATTATAATTAATTGGAATTCCAAATTTTCTTGCATTTAATATACAAAATTGATTGGTTGCAGTTGTCATCGAATAATTTTGATTTGTTTTTAATGATCTGAAAGAAAAAAATTTCTTTTTTTATTTTAATTTATTGATTATTTCGAAAAAAAAGTTACAGTTAGGATATAAATTTGTAATTATTGAAATAAATTCATTACTAAGTTCAAAGTTTACTGTGTAAAAAAAGCGTTTTTTTTTTTTTAATTTTGCTTCAAAATAATAAATTTATCGAATTTACTTTTCAAGAAAAAATGGTAAAATTATTCAAATGAAATTTTAGAATGTAATATAAGTAAATCTCAATTTTTTTTTTAAAAAAAAGAATGAAACATTGTTTTGTAAATGAATAAATCAAATACATTCAGAAATGTTTGCGAAAAGATTTGCTTATTTGTTGAATTAAGAAAAGTCAAAGAAACAAAAGTTATTTCACAAAAGTGTAATTAAGTTAAAATTATAAAAGCATTTTTTATCAAAAATAAGCAAAAATTTGAATGAACAAATTAGCAACTTAAAATGAGCAAATTGAAAATGTTTAAAACATCCAATTTTAGTGATTTTCGACATTTCATGTAAACATATCTTATCAGAAATTATCTAATCATCGCAAAAAAAAAAATAAACAAAGCTATAAATATTCTAAAGGTTACATTAATTGAAAAAATAAATGAATTAAATTTTATTATTTTGAGGGGAAGAAACTTATTCATATTTAAAAATTAGGCAATGTTCTCAATTTATTGATCTAATTTTTTTAAAAAAATTTTGTCAAAAATGTCTAATTTGCATTTTTTTTTTTAATTTTTGTGAGATAAGAATTTTTTTAAAGATAATAGAAAACCAACAATCTTTCCTATATTTCATTACTTTCAAATAATTTATACTGCCTGAAATGCATTTTTTTCTTTCTTTTTTTTCTTGAAAAATGTTTATTCGTCAATTTTTTATCAAAAAAAAAAATGAATGGAATAAATTCCAATTAAATATTATAATAGAAAATCGCAATAGCAATGATAATGATATCATAATTACTGTGATAATAATTATATTAATGAGAAGTAGGGAAATAATAATGCTAATTATAAATAATATTGCCATTCATCTCAATATTTTAATGATAACTAACATTAAAAATTTTTTTGTTTCTTTTTTGTTATACATTTTTTAATTTTGAGTAAATAATTTCTATCAATTTTCTTCCTTTTTACTTTTTTTTCCTCAGAAAAATCTTATTAGATTCCATTTTTTATATGTATCGTATCGCATTTTTCTTCTATTTCGATTAGTTTTATTAAATTCTATTCGATTCAGTTTAATTTTATTTCATTTAGCTACAAACAGAGATGTCATTTATTTAAAAAAAAATGCATAAAATTTATTAAAAGAATTTTTGACATGAAGGGGAATTACAGAAATGAAATACAATAATTATTTGAAATGAAATCATTTTTTTTTTCGTTCGTTAATTAAAAAAGAAAAAAGTATAACTATTTTTGAGATACATTTTAATTTTAAATCATTTATTGCATTTATCACAAAAGAGAAACGTTTTTACATATTGAAAGTTATATGAAAGTGCACATTGAAAATAAAAATTTCAAAAAAGAAAAAATTTTTTAAAAAAAAAAAGACAAAAAAATGATGGTGATAAATGGGGAAGAATTTAAGCTTCGCTTGATAATATCAGTTACTTTTTTTTTTAAATTATCGTTTTTTTTTTTTCCTTCTGCTTTTATATCAACAAAATAGTTGTTATAAAAATTAAAAAAAAATCACACAAAAATTTTTTCAAAGCTATTTTTTCAATTTTTTTCCTTTTTTTGTCATATTATAATTTATAAATATATTGTAATTTACTAGAAATATGAAAATTTTTTAGCATATGTTAAAAGAAAATTAAATTAATTAGCGCAGTAATCGTAACTGAATGAGAAAAAAATTTAATTAATAAAATTTAATGAAGCAAAATTATTCGTTTGATAAAATTGTGATTGTCACTCTCATTTTTTTTTCCTTTCCAAAACGACAAATAGTTGACAAAAGGTTAGAAGGTCATTGGCACAAATATATCTTAAATCTTTATACATTATTTGTAAATTTGATTAATTTGTAATGAATATAACAAAAGAAATTTTTTCTTTAAAAATTTCTTAATGCAAAAAAATTTTTCAAATTTGTAATAAATCTGGCAACTTCACAAAATAGAAAAGAAAAACACCGAAAACGCTATCTTTCATCCATACAAACAATTTTTTATTTTCTTCCATTTTTAGGATTCCGGTTAATTTGAAATAATTGATGAGGTGTCATTGATAGTTTACCCTTTCATAGTGTGAACAATTTAAAATGAAATTTTAAATTAAGGTAAAATGTGTAAAAAAAAGATTTGCTGGATAAGTCTTATCAAAATTATCAAAAATAAAATCATAACTAGATATGACTTTTGTAAGAAATATTTGAATTTACATTTCATATCTGATACAAATTTACTTTAAAAGTTGACATTAAAATTTGTCAATTTCATCTCTCCTCTTTCTTTTCCCTTCTCTCTCCCTGTTTTTTTTTCTTTTTTTTTGTTTATTATCATTTTTCAGTGCATTTATCTCTATTTGCTTATATTTTGAATAAAATAAGATTACAACTTGTAAATCAAAAACGAATAAATAAATCACTTTGAATTTCTTTTCAAATTCATTTAAAAATTAAGTGACATACATCCGTTTTACTAATTATATTGCTAAATGACAATATATCATTTTTTAGATAAATAATACTTGCAAAATGTTTCATTGAAATGAAAAATAATTTTGAATGAAAATATAAATTTTGTACAATGAATATGTAACAATGAAGCATTTTTCTGTGAATAACAAAAAAATGATAAGTCGTATTGAAAAATGCCAACTATGCCAATTAATTTGACCTTGAATGAATTGAACTGAAATGGAATTTGGAATGATTCTTGTAAAGTTATTTGATTATTAAAAGATGTCAAATAGTTTAAAAGTGAAATATAACAAATGATAAATTAGCAACAAATTCATATTTTTGTTTAAAACTTGACAAATGCTATGATAGATGATGCATTTCTATCGGATGTTCATTTCATCCCGAAAAAACCCTGACCTCTTCGTAAATGACCTTCAAGACCAGAGATAAAAACAAAAACAAGTTCTATTAGATATCAGATATGCATATTTATACATATATCATTAGGATTAGAATTAAAATAAAATTAATTTTATGCTATTTTAATTTAATACGCCGACAAAAAGAAAAGTGAAAAAAGAGAAAATGGCGCATTAATTTTTGAATTGAAATTGATGAAACATTTCAGAGCTAAAATCGATAATGGCATATACTTTTGAAAAGAATTTAAATGATATTAGCAAGATGAAAAAAGAGGAAAGACAACAATAAGAATACTTTCAATTATTAAAAATTTTTGATATGAAACAAATTTTGATAAAAATTGAGGTGCTGCTAAAAAGGTTGAAAAAATTGAAGTGGAAATTAAACGAGAATAAAAGGAAATTAAAATGCTAAATGTCTGATATATAAATTATTTAGTGTATTTCTTGTTGTCAGAAAAAAAAAGGACCGAATCTTAAACTTTTATGTCTAAAAAGTTTTTTACATCAAGAAAAAAGGTTCCTTAAAATTTAAAAATTTTTTAAAATAAAATGTTCCTAAAATTTGGAATATGAAAATCATGCAATTATTTTCAAGTATGGAAATTCATTCACTTAGATAAGTTCGCGTGAAATTGAATGAAAATATAATTTATACATTCTGCTTGTTGCCATTAAGTTTTAAAAAATTCCGTCAAACAGATTCAGAAATTTGAATATTACTAAAAATTACTGAAAGTTTGACAATGAGTCCCTTTAGTACTTCAATTTATGTGCCGACAATTTGACCCTTTAATAGAAATAGCTTGACCTTTGCATTAAAATCATTTCATACTTAAAAATGATATGAAAATTCTAGAAATAAATATCTAATGGATTATATTAAGGATAGCTAATAAAAAGTATTTGAAAATTTTTTAGCTAATTGTATGAATGAATTTTTGATAAAATAATTGCTAATAGAGAATTTTCAGTAAAAAAATTAACAATTTGGAAAGTATAAAACTTTTTACATTTTATCCTAATAAATTTCATTTTTTCAAATTCTGGATTTTTGATAATTGATTTTCAAAAAGAAAAGAAAAAAGAAGAATACCACAAGAAAATGAATGCTATAATTATTATTGCTAAAAACTAGTTGAAAAATTCAAATAGCATATGAAATGCAATTTTAACTGCGTAATTATTTCTTTTTTTCCTAAGAAAATTTTTTTATTTTAAAAAAGATACTTCAAAAAATTAGCGGTAATTCTCAAAATAACAATAATTTTCTTTTCTCGTTTTTTTTCTTTTAGATTATAAATTTGAAGATAATAAAAAAAAAAGCGATGAATTGTGGAATTTTTTTTTTCTTTTCCATTTTTATTCTTTAATTTTTGTTTTCTACCATTATATTTCGAGTAATTTTTGACGATGAAATCAAATTTACAAATGAATGCAAACAGATAAAAAATTGAAATTTTTTATTAAAATGAAAGGAAAAAAAAGCTTTTCTCTTTTTTCATAGCAATCTTTGAATTTATAGAATAAAAACAAAAACAAAAAAAAAAAAAAACTATTTTGTTTGTTTCAAATTATTTTATTGTTGAAAAAAGAAAAATACATATAGAAAATTGTAAATGTTTTTATGCTTTTTGAAATAAAATAATAGTTTTGAGCTTATTAAAAAGATTTCTTAGCAAATATTATAAAAGAAAAGAACAAAATTATAGTTTTTAAAATCTTTTTTCTTTTTCTCTAAATAAAATAAATGTTTTACTACAATTGGTGAAAAAAAAAAAAATTTGTTAGGTGTATAATAAAATTGAATGTACTTTAGCTTTTTGCTTATGTAATTAATATCAGAATTGCATAAATGGTTAATTATAGAATAATAATACTCAAATAAAATAAACACATAATGAAAGTAATTTTGAGAAAATCG